ACCAAGCATGTGGCTGGGAGCAGGCTTTGAGACTGCAGCCTGCCCTCCCCTCCCCTCCCCTCCAGCTTGCTCTCTCTGCTTCAGTGGGTGGCCGAGATGCAACCTCTATCAGCTTCCTGTCCTCCTGCCACCATCGATTCTACTCCTGGGACCACACACCAAAACAAACTTTCTTCTTTAAGTTGTTTCTGGCCATGGTATCTTATCACAGCAATGGGAAAGAAAGGAACACATACACCTCCTTTAATATCCACAGACTGGAAAGACGGTTCAGTGGTGCAAGTTCCCAGCACTCAATCCAAAGCCCTATTCTGGCCTACAGAAGCATCAGACATCCATGTGGTGCACATAAACTCACACACACATACACATAAATAACTATGCATTTAAATACATATATATAATACACACACAAAGCTAAACAACACACTATCCAGAGGCCTGCAAACTGGAAGACTAGGTATCTACTCTATAACTTCAAGAAAGATTAAAAAAGCAATTAACAATTTTCTCATCAGTTACTACTGAGATTATTACTGATAAAGGTCAGAGAAAAGTTTAGTTTCCAAAGACTGAATCAGGCCTTAAGCCAGACAATTCCTGAACTTCCCTGAGCCTCCTTTCACACAGTTAAGCTGAGCAGAGAAACTAGACATCCTTAGAGAAAAAAAAAAAAAAAAAAAAAACGACTTCATTAACTAATTACTCACCGACTGACTTTAGCAAGGTTTCTGATTACACCCTAATTCATCTAGGAACTGGAAAAGCAGAACTGAGCCAGCGATCAGAATATTCTGCCACTGAGGTAGACTAGTGCTGTGCACTGCCCACTAGGGGGCAGCACAGGGGTCGCTGCGCGGCTGCCGCTCCACTGTGCTTGGGATGGCTTGCTCTGGGGTAAGCCGTGGGTGCCAGGCGGAAGGACACTTAGCAATCCAATGAAGAACTGCGGGCTGTAACCAACACTACTGGCAAAAGTCAACCGCCTTGGAAGCAGATCCAACAGCTGCAAGAACTGGACTGAAATTCCTGGAAGACACAGATCAGATACAGAGCCTCCCAGCTTCACTACCCCCTCCCCCCACACACCTGTGACCCACAAATACTACGTGACATATATATGCCTTACAGTCTTAATGTTGGGCTGCTTATAACAGAAAGATCAGTTTTTCCTCACATGTGAGCTCAGTCTTGTTTGGAATTATGAAATAAATGTAAAACAGCCCAATCAATTTTACAGGCTCTTACACCTTTAATTCTGGCGCTGGGAAAATAAAAGCAGGAGAATCCAGGGAACACAGCAAGTTCTGGGCCAGCTTTAGCACATGAGATCATAAAAAATAAATAAATAAATAAATAAATAAATAAATAAAAATAAAAAGGGCTAGAAAGATGGCTTGGAAGTTAAGAGTGCAAAGGACAATTCAGTTCCCAGTACCCACAGCTTAGCTTCTACCTAACTTAGCTTCAGGGATTTGACACACACACACACACTTTAAAAATGTGGCTGGGCAGGTCCAAGTGTGCTGTGTAAGCCTAGTGACCCAAGTCTGATCCGCAGAGCCCACATAAATGTGAATGGACCTCCACACGTGGGCTGCAACACACACCCACGTCTATACACACAGTGTTATTTCAAAGGCATTCACTAGCATCAGTTAGCTGACCACTAGTGTATGCCCTTGACCACAGCAGCTCACAGAAGCAGAGGGAATTCATCTGTAGGGACTGTGAGCTAAGCAACAACCAACCATGAACTAGTATTTAAAACGCCTATGATATAGCCAGTGAAATAAATGAGAGTCTTCAAAATAGATTGGTTTTTCATCTGCTTCGTTGGTGGGGTTTGCTGGTTTTTTGTTTTAAGACTGAGTCTCAGTTGGGCAGGGGTGGGACACTCCTTTAGTCCCAGCACCTGGGAGACAGAAGCTGGGGGGGGGGGGCACGAAATCTCAGTGAGTTCAAGGCAAACCTGGTCTACAAAGCAAGTTACAGGACAGCCAGGACTATCAGAGGGAAAACAAAACAAAAAGAATAGAGTCTCACTCTAACCCTGACTGGCCTAACTCACAGCAATCCTGCTGCCTCAACCTTCTGTTACACATTAGCCACACTTAGCTAAAATTCATCTTTTCTTACTTAAATGTTAAGCATTTTTTTTTTTTTAAATAACAGAGGATATGAGGCAAGCATGCTGACAAATGCCTTATAATCCTAGCACTCAGGAGGCAGAGGCAGATGGATCTGTGAGTTCAAGGCCAGCCTGCTGTACATAGTGAGTTGCTGGCCATTCAAAACCACACAGTAAGACAGTCTCAGAACACCAGAGGGCATGGCACTCCACATACACTCTGAAGTCCAACATGGGAAAGCATTCCACTCAACAGGACAGCCTTCGAAAGATCTATCGAAAGACAGCATTGGGTTCTGATCGCATTTATTTATGTACTAGACCTTCCTGTTAACTTCCTCGCCAGTTCGCAGGTAATCCACCTTCAATCTAAGCACACACAGCTCACAAAACGTTCACCGAGAGTATGAAGGTTAAAGGGTAAGTTCAGAACCATTACATTTTTTTTTTTGTTCACTGTCAATGTAACACTGGAACTATCTTCTCCAAAACATACAAATAAACACCTACATCTACAGCTGCACTTCAGCAGAGCACAAACCAAATCTCTAGTCAATGCAAGACTTCACAGGCATTTATCTACTCAGCTTTCTTTTTTTGATGAATCCACTAAGATTGTTAGTACTGTTTTCTTTGCACTTCCAACTTGCTGTATTTATTTTTCAAAAACCCAAACAATCAGTAATAAAACAGGCAACCAGTTCAACACAGAGCAGGTGTGACAGGTGCCCTTAGCACTGTCCTAAGCTAGGCTGCTTTTCCCTCCAGGCTTTCCATACAAAGGCATTCACGTGACAAGCAGAGACCACGCAGCCTCTTAAGCTACCTACCAACCCATGACGCGGACTGAAAAACAAAAAGCAAGCTGCAACTTGGCAGCAGTCAAGCCGACTTGCCTCTCTCTGCCTTGAGAACTAGCAGCAAAGCAGCCAGGCTCTAGCCTAAGGAGAGAGGATGCTCTAGACAGCACATTGGAAGCAGCAGCAGCTCCGGAAGATGCAAGGACCACATGCCTTAGGGATGATAGAGCACACTCTCACCACTGGTTTGTTTCTGCAAAACTGTACCAAGTCCTGGCCAACCATTCTTAAGACTCAAAGACAGGCGACATGTGATATAACCCTACAACCCTAGCCCTGCCTGCAGAGGAGGGCAGGCTGTGACAAGGCTCACAAGAACCAAGAGCTGCAGAACTTTTGAGGCTCTGCCTCAGCAAACAAAGATGTTCTTTGATCAGTCCACCTTCACAGAGAACTCCACAATCACAATTTAAAAGAACTAAGAACCTAAAGATCTTAACTATGACTCTGCACTAATCAGATTCATTTCAGGCTCTTAACTAAGAGGAAATTGACCGGTCACTCAAGCGAACCAGGCAAGCCCGGATAGTGCCCTACAACACTTGGCTCACGGTCAGAATTTGTTTGTGGAGGCGAACATTCAAGCACTCCACAAGTCGTTCATCTACCTGATCAAAGTCTAGCAAAGTTCAAGGCAGGTGTCCACTGGGTCTATTATTCACTCTGGGGCCACACCAGTCACACAGACGTTTATTTTGTCTTCAAAGAAGAAATTAGTCATCAGTTGCTGTACACACAACTGGATTGATAAATCAAAGTCAAGACTTCTAGGATGAACACCGTCAAGGTGCCAGGCACTGTGCTAGGGGCTGCACTCTGTAAAAACATGGGTTTGGCATCAAGGTCCTACAGGTTACTGTGCTTTGAAACCAAGTGTAACCTGGAAACTGCTGCCTCCATTCACTTGCGAACCAAGCTTAGAATCTAAGATATGTAAAATAAAGCATTAACTGAGTCTTCAAAAGGGATAAAAATAAAACTCTTCATCCCAGACAGAACTAGCAAAATGGCAACATAAAAAGTAAATTTTAAAACCTTAAGAAAGCTCATCATGGGATTCAAGTCCCCTACCATGCTACCATGTTTCAGGATGTCCCTGTAACATCTAACAGGATGGCAACTCTGAATCCACTCCACCAGACCCTTGGGAGTCCAAAAAGTCAGCCAGAGAGTAGTGGCCGGTACCAACACACACACAGCGCAAGTCGCCATAAACTAAACCTCAACATATGGGGGGAGTTAAGCACCCCATCCCGTTCAGTCCTAAAAGGCATCTTAACCCACAGTGGCCTGGCTGCTCGGGACACATACTTTCGGCCGCCACCGGTGGCAAACACCGTCAGGTGATTGACAGCGGCCCACCCGACTTCACCTCTCAGGACGACAGGCTAACCCCACGGGCAGAGCCAAGAGGCGTCAGGCATCTCTTGACAGGAGCCGGACGGGCATGCACCGGCCTCCCCGAAGCGACCATCTCTCTGCACGGGCAGGACTGGTCCTACCTAAACCCCCCGCCCGCCCGCCCCCGGGTCTGGACACAAGGGGGGTCGCCCGGGCCGCCGGGCGCGGACAACTTTCCCCGCCTCGCCTGCACATGGCTTTTGCAGAACTTCGGCTGGAGCCGCAGCGCCGAGCGAGCGAGCGAGCTGAGCTGCAGGCGGCGGCGGCGGCGGCGGCGGCGGAGCAGCAGGAGGCGGAGGCGGGCGGGCGGGCGGGCGGGGGAGGGGAGCGGCCGGGGGGGGGGCGGAGGGGCTCTTGCCGCCACTGCTCTCTCGCCGCCTCTCCCCCCCGGCGGGAGCCGCTCGCTCGCAGCCTCTTTGCACTAGTCGCTCCGCTCTCTCGGTCATGTGACCTTAACGTAACCGGACAGGAAAAGCCCCGCCGCCGCCGCCCGCCGCCGCGCCGGAGACACCGACGGCGGCGGCAGCGGCAGCAGCAGCGGGAGCAGCGGCGGCGGCGGCGGGGACAGTTAGGCCGAGGCCGCCCGGCTCCGCCTCGCCCCCCCCTCACGCCCCGCCGCCCCGGCGACAGGTAAGCGCGCACCGCCGCCGCCGCCGCCGCCGCGTCCCGGGGCCCCACGTGCCGCCCCCGGCCCGGGCTCCGGGGAGGCGCAGGGAGGGGCGGGAGGCGCCGGAGCTCGCAAACGGTTCCGGCGGCGGCCGCGGCAACAAAGGCGGCGGGGGACTCCCGGCCCCGCGGCTCCGGGCGAAGGCAGGCGGCGGGGCCCCGGCGCGCGCGGGCCGGGGCGAGGCCGGGGCGGGGGAGCGGGGCAGCGGGGGGCGCCCGCGGGGCGGGGCGGGGCGCGGCGGCGGCGCCTGGCGCCGGGGCTCTGGCCGCCTGACAAAACCACCCCGGCGGCCAGGCGGCGGCGGCGGCGGCGCGTCCCGGCCGCTCGCTCCATCCGGGGCTTGGCGACAGGGGGAGGGGACGGAAGCCGAGAGGGCGGGCGCAAGGGGAGGGGGCGCTCCGCGTTCCGGTCCCAGTCGCCGGTGCCGGTGCCTGCTGCGGGCCGCGGCCCCGAGGGCGTCCGGAGCGGGCGGCGGCCGGTGAGCGCTCCCCGCGCCGGAGCCCCGCTCCAGGCTGGGCCCGTCAGGTGCGTAACTCCCGCCGGGGCCGCCGGCGGCCGGGCCGCCCGCGAGCTGCGGAAGTGGGCTCGGAGTGGGGGGGGAGGGGAGGGAGGGAGGGAGGGGAGCGAGCGGGGAGGGGGCGGGGGCGCGAGGGGAGGGGAGGGGAGGGGAGGGGAAGGGATCCGGTCGGACCGGAGCAGGGCCCGGCCTCTCCCTGGCGCGTCTCCCAGCTGCAGCGGCTCCTGCAGCTGCCGCTGCGACTGCTCCGGCTCCGCCTCCTCCCGCTGGCGGGCGGGGGCGCGCACGCGCGCTTCCGGCCCCGGGTCTCGCGCTGTCTGCGGCTCTCGCGCGCGCTGCGGCGCCCCGCCCCGCCCCCTGGCGCCGGCGCGGCGAGCGCGCGCGCGCGGCGTAGGCGTCGCCATTGTGTTGGGCGCCGCGGGACTTCGCGCGCGGCGGGGGCGGGCGCGTGCGCGTGGGCGGGCGCGCGCGGGGCCGACGGCCGGGGACGGGGAGCGAGCGGCGCGACCCGAGTGCGTTGCTCAGCCTGGCGTTGCTCCCCCCCCCCGTCCTCTCCCTCCGCTCGGCCCCCCCGGGGGCGGGGCCGGAGTGCGGGCCACGCCCCCGCGCTCCTCCCACACGGGGCGGGGCCACGCCGCCTTGGGCCGAGGCCCCGGCGGCCGCGCCCTCCTCTGCCTGCCGGCCAGCTCAGCGAGCAAATGAGCCGGGCCGCCGAGGGCTTAGGCGGGGCGGCCGGTGGAGCGGGCCCCCCGACGATTCGCTCGCAGCCTGGAATGCGTGCGCAGCTAAAAGCCGCGTAGGATGCGGGCTTTTGTTGCTTTGAGCTGGTAGTGGATCTTAAAGGCGCTCCTACAAGGATGCTCGTGCAGCCGGGCAGGAAGAGCGAAACCCCCGTGTCTCTGTCTCACAGACCATTTACTGCGAGAACTTCCACCCAACTCCTCGAACTAATGATTCCGCGGGGAGTGGACTGGAGCCTTTGGTATATCCTCACCAGTCCGCACTGTTCTTTCCCACCACCATCCAAAAAACGCATTTGGTCCTAGATTCGGTTCATTTTTCATGGTGTATTAGTAAAATACAACATAAAGGAAATGGATTTGGGGCTCGCATGACGCCGGAGTGATCTGGATATGGCTGAATGGGCTGTTCTGCCTGGTTAATGATATCTGTGTAGTGTCTATACTAAAGACCCTGACCGGCGTGCACAACCAACATTTTACTCTGAGAGGCATGAAATTATGCTAAATTACAGCTAAGACATTTTAATCCCCATTACTGTGGTTTCTCACAAACCAAAAAATTAAATTTGGGAGGGGGGACATTCAGGTGTTCCAGGTTATATCTTTAGTTTGCCCGGAATATTTGTAAACTTGATCGGTCTTCTTTTTTTTTCCTTTTTTTGGGGGGAGGGAAGAGGGGGTCTCAAAGCCGCGTTATTTCTCTGTACCCTTGGCTGTTCTGCCCTGTAGACCTGGCTGGCCTCAATTTCAGAGATTACCCCAGTCCCTGCTTCCCCAGTGCTGGGATAAAAGGAATGCGACACTCCACCCATAACTTGATAATTTTCTATAACTTGATAATTTTTAAGATGAGTATAATTTTATCTCTAATTCTTTTAAAGGTGATATTTAGTTTCTCAGTGGGATGTGTGTGTGTTCCTAGCTAAGACTGACCTATTGTTGAAACCATAATAATTAAAATTTTTAAAAAAGTGGAAGGGTACCACAGGAAGAATGCACTAGTGGGTGGCAGGAACTGTCCTGTTATTCCCACTTACTTGCCCAGCTTTAAGGAATGTATATATCCATGGGTGCAAAACTTCCTCCAAAATGATCCAGCAAAATTAATGCTAGACATGTCTTTGCGAAACAGCCCTGGCTGTCCTGGAACTCTGTAGACCAGGCTGGCCTCAAACTCAAAGAGATCTGCCTCCTCTGGTTGGATTAAAGACATTCGCCTCCCCATCACCAGGCCCCAATTTTCCATTTTTACAAGAGCTTTGAATAAGAATGGTACTGATAGGGTCATATATTTGAATGGACATGTAATCACCAGGGTATATTTGAGAGGATTAGAAGGATTAAGAGGTGTGGCCTTGTTGGAAGAAGTTTGTCTGTGGGGTAGGGGTTTGAGATTTCAAAAGCCCTGAAAAGGCGCAGGTACTGCTTGCTCTCTGCCTGCAGATCAGGATGTTGCTGTCCTTGCCCCCTGCCAAGATGATAATGCACTAACCCTCTGAAACTGTATAAACAAGCCCACAATTAGATGCTATCACGGATAAGAGTTGCTGTGATCATGGTGTATCTTCACCACGGCGGTTACTAAGACCGCCTTATAATACATTTTACCGCCCCCCCTCCCCTGTGGGGGGTGTTCCTGCCTGAGAATCCGATATCCTGTAGTAACAGAACAGCTTGGAATCAACTTTAGAGTAGGGGACTCTCTTACCACCTCTCAGTGTCCTTTGTCCCTAGACCTAATCCCCTTTCCCTGTAGGAAATGAGGGAAGGTGAACAAGAAGTGTGATACAGGCCTTGGTAGGTAGGGGTAGACTAAGGAATGACAGCTGTGGCCAAAGGGCGCCAGCTGCTTCTGCTCTCCTGTCTGTGTCCCTTGGTTCTCTGAACAGCACACTGAGGAGGAGCTAACAGGGAACTGGATGTCTGAATTGCAAATTTCTAAGCATTAGATTGAGGACACCCGGTAAACAAATTACAAATTACCATTACTAAATGGTACTAAATGAGATTGCATATTTACCGTGCTAAGGTGGTCATTAAGATACAGAATCACAGGCATCACCAGGCACTGGCACACACTCGGGCAGAGGCAGGTGGGTCTCTGAGTTCGCAGCCAGCCTGGTCTACAAAGCGAATTCCAGGACAGGCTCCAAAGCCACCCAGGGAAACCCTTTCTCAAAAACAACAACAAAAACAAATCAAAGTAAAGAAAGAAGAAAGGACTGTGGAATCATGCCAGACATGGTGGTACATGCCTGTAATCCCGGCACTCCCAAATTGGAGGCTTTGAGGGTAAGGAATTGGAGGACGGCCACCACAGAGAATTTGAGGTCACCTTGGACTACATGAGACAGTGGAGAAAGGGAGAAGAGAGAGACAGGGGGCATGAGGGACAGGAGAGAAAGCATCGGAGCCACAGGACTTACAGGACTATCCTTTGCTGGTTCAGGGGCCAAGTTGGGTGTGGTATTTCCATTCAGACACAAATCCTGGACCACGTGCATGAGGGATTTATCTGCTACTTCAAGAAAACTCAAGCCAGACAGGGAGTAGTCACACACCTGGAACCCTAGCCAGTGAAGCCGAAGCAGGAAGTTTGTTGTGCTGCAAGTTCAAGACTAACCTGGGCTAACTGGGAAGCCCCTCTCCCAAAAATAACAGGAAGGGAGGGAAAAGTTCTCAGTACAAAGTTAGAAATTCAGGAAGCGCTTTAATATACCTGGCTATGTGCTTAAACTTTCTTGTTTTTCAAAACAAATGTTGCCAAGTGTGGCAGCACACACCTTTGGTCACAGCTCTTGGGAGCTACCGGCAGACAGATCTCTTGTGAGTTCAAGGCCAGCCTGGGCTACATAATAGCAGTAAGTTCCAGGACAGCCAATGCTATGTAGAGAGACCCTGTCCCAAAAGAGCAAAAACAAAACAAAACCTGTGTAACAAAACCTTCTCTGTACCATTCCTTTAAATTGTGTGCATGTTGTAGATTCTGCACCGGGGACAGTCTAGAATCATCTAAAAGTAATGTGTGAGTGCTCTGGTCCAGACCGGCTGCTTATTGTGAGTCCTTGTGAATCCCACAGGTCTGCCAGGCTTCCACATGGTTGAGACAATTTTCATAAGAATACTGTCTTACTGTCTTTCCAGTCAGTGTGTTAATATTGGAGAAATCTCATAATTCAATGAGTCAGTATTTTCCAAGTCCACTGGACAATGATTTTTTTTTAAAAAGTGCATCAGTAAAACTGCATGGCCCCTGATGCTGAGTCTGATGGCCTGGCCCATCCTTAGAACCCACATGGTGGAAGGGGAGAACTGAGTGCCTTTGAATCCCCAAACACACACACACACACTCTCTCTCTCTCTCTCTCTCTCTCTCTCTCTCTCTCTCTCACACACATTCACATATTCACACATACACACACACATTCACATATTCACACATACACACACATTCACATATTCACACATACACACACACACATTCACATATTCACACATACACACACATTCACACATACACACACGTACACATACACACACGTGTGTGTGTGTGTGTGTGTGTGTGTGTGTGTGTGTGTGTGTGACTTGAAAGCAGAAGGGGGCTATTTGAAGGGAGAAAGGATAAGGAAAAGGGAGGGAGTGGGTAAAGGGGGTACAGAACAAACACTAGCAGCTTAGGGTGGTGGCATTTGTATGTGAAGAT